GGTTCGGATCCCGGATGCGGACCGGTTCCCGCTAACTGTCTGAGTGAGGCACGGGAGCAACGCCGAGGGTTGTGATCCCGTTGCCGGTCCCCGGTCCGGTACGGGGGCAACACTGAGGGTGGCGATCCGTTGCCGGACACGGAAAAAGTCAAAAGAAAAAAAAAAAAAAAAAAAAAAAGTGAATATTTAAAACTACAAATGTTAGGTCTGTCAATGCTGAGGGTCTTAGAAAATAATCCAAAGTTCCCTCTTAACACTTTCAGGGACTCATGAGGTCCTAGACCATAGACTGTTTGTGTTTTGGAGGAAATAAAATATAGGAAGATTAACTTGTATCTTGAATAAAAAGATTAAAAATTTCCTCATTAAGGTATGAGAATTTGACATAGTGTTTAACAACTAAATTTTCTTTAATATTCACCTTGATACCCAGTTTGAAATTCATCTGGAATTACTTTCACATGGATACATGGGAGCAGGTGATTCACTCATGGGCTATGTAAGTAAGTACCTGAATCTGTTCTTGAGTCCACTGGTCGAGGTTAACTGATTTTACCCTGGATATGTGCACCCCCAGATTCCTGTGGATTCCAGCACATCGAATGCAGATGAACACACCAATGTTCCAGGAGGCCCATCGTGGCCCTATGGAGGTCAGGAACAGGGCGATAAAGCACAAATTACAATGTTCAAGGCCCGAGCTGCAATGTTATCAAACAATATTTCTGCTAGAACATAAGTAAAAGAGTTTTTACCATAATCACCTTTTTATTGACTTTGTTCATTCCTCCACAGATCAGCTTTTTATGCTTGTTTTCGTTTTTTGTTTTTTTTTTTTAAGTATACAGTACAGGGGTTTAAAGTATATTCACGGAGATGTGCAATGGTCACCACTATCAAATTCTAGAACGTTTTTATTATCCCAGAAGAAATCCCAAACACATTAGCAGGCACTCTCCATTTTCTTCCAATGCTTCCCTCCAAGACCCTGGCAACCATGAATCTACTTTCTGTTTCTGTTGGATTTGCCAATGAAGGACATTTAATATAAATGGAATTATACAATATGTAGGCATTTGTGTATAGTGCAGTTTTTTACAGTGTTGATGACTGTTGAGATGCAGATGTTACAATACTCTGTTACTTTTTATAATGGAAAATCCCAGGAGAGCAGTGCAAAGCCAGTCACATTCTATTTAACCTAGCACCTTACATGAGCAGCCCTCCCCCAAGACACTTCAGTGGTGGTAGGGCCTGGATTCAGTTTTCCTGCTAGGAAAAAAGATACAGACATGGCATGCCTGCCCAGGGCTCAACCTGAAATTGAAAACTTTATTTATTCTCCCTCCCCTCCAGGCCTATAAAATATGCATCCACATTAACTTAATAGAATCCTTTCCTCTTGGGCTGATGTCCCTACTTTACCCAGCTATAGAATTACCTAGACTCAAGTTTGCTAAATAAAAAAGTTGCTTTTTGCCAAAATAAAAAAAAAAAAGAAAAGAAAAGAAATCTCAGATATGAATTTTAATTTAAAAAAACCAAAAAACTGTTACAAAGTCTCCTATCCCCTGCCAAGTTTGCTCACCCTAATAATCACTCTGGAAAATTATCACTCCTCTTTATAATTTTTATACAGGAAAAAAGTGACTTATTTTTATATGACACCTACCAAAGACTTACTGAAAAATCAGAAATAGTTCCTTCTCCATCATCCCACTAAGCAGAAACTTATCACATAAACTAAGCATGATATCAAAATTAGAGGTTGCAATAAAGACGTGAAAAGACACTAACTGATTTTCTACAGAGATAATCAGGACATGTGTTCAGAACAACAAAGGGCACAGGACTTCAGTTCTGTGGGACACAGATATTTGGTTAGCCTGCGGGTTTTTTTTTTTTTTTCCTTTTTGTCTCTTTTTTCATGTCCGGCAACGGATCGCAACCCTCAGTGTCACGCCCGTACCGGACCGGGACCAGCAACGGGATCGCAACCCTCGGTGTTGCGCCCACACCTCGCTCAGCCAGTGAGCGGGAACCGGTCTGTATGCGGGATCCGAACCCTCGGCAGGAGCGCGCCGCTGCCCTCTCAAGCGGTGCACTGTAGCAGTGCACCACCGGGCCGGCCCTTAGCCTGCGAGTTTTGACAGCAGTTTTAATGAGGAATGTTAGAATCGTGTGGCAGAAATTATTCTTAGAAATCTGAGTTCATGATTATTATAAATAAGATTAATTTTTTTGACAAAGATATCATTCATTTACTATGGCAAAAATACTACGAATACAGAAGGCTCAAATCCTCCTTATCACCACCAGGTGGTGTTCTCTGCCTGAAATTGTATCCCAATACCTTCTCACTGCTATTATCCTGACAGGCTCAGATTTATCTTGTAAAAAGACCTTCAGTCCCCTCAAATCCTTAGATGAATATGCATAGTTAGTCTGCCACATAGCTAATAAATACACAACTGATTCACACACTTGTTTTGGGTGGTGGGGTGTTATACAAACACAAAATGAAAAACCTAGACAGATGTAAATGAGGTTTCTTAGGGTGCTGTATATGTATTTTAGGTTACAGTTTTCATAAAGGAACTCTGATAAGATCTAAGTTATATAAGATTAAAATGGGACCAAATTTAATTCATGTTTCTTTAGCAATTTTTCTTTGCTCCAGATTCTAAAGTCTAGAATTCACGATAAGATAGTTAAAATGCATTTGTTTTGCTAACAAAGTCAGAAGTCAAAAACACTTATTAAATGTGAGCTGTGGAATGCTACGCTGTTTGCTTCCTAGCCCTAAGTCTGGAGAAGGCAATTCCTAATCATCTAAGCAACTGTCACAACTGTGGAATTTCTCCAGATCTCACTCCAGAGTTTAAAGTCTTTTTGCCTCTTAGGAATGCAAAACTAAGACCTGATGCTCTGGAGCCACTGACGAGGCTTCAGTACAGAAATACAACAACTATATTGCCATGAAAATCTGGAAGACAGCCTCCTCTGCCCCCGTCCCCCCACTTTCTCCCAACCTGACATTCCTCCTACAACCTTTCCCCAATATAATAGTGACAGTTCTATCCCACACTTGGTCTTTTTTAGTTTTAAGCCACCAGATTTATTAGTCAATAACTGCATGCTCTACAAAAGATTCTGAAACTGGAAAGGAGAAAAATACAAGAGATAAAAGTTACATATACACAGCTGAAAATGTGGGGAAATGGCATTGTTATTAAAAGTACAGTCTTTGCATACAGAAAAGACTTAGGTTTGAATGCAGTGCCATCAATGATCACTTGTGTGACCTTCAGAAAGATACTTAAATACTTAAGCCTCAGTTTCTTCGTCTACAGAATAAATTCAGTAATACCCTCCTCAAAGTGCCTACAACACACAGGAACGATAATAAATGAGAGCTACATATAAGAACATGGTATAGAGTGAGGTTTCCAGAATCCATTTCCCATTCGTCTTCACTGATAAGGGTCAGTTAACTCACTCATACATATATACCAACACCCTATCCAACACCACAGAACGCTTCTTTCTAGACAGGGATATGAGTTCTGGTCCTAAAATGTCAGAATGAAAACTGACTAAATATCAGGAAGAAGAAATTTACCATGACCCAATTTTAAAGTCTTATAGAAAACATGAAAAAAAAAATTTTTTTTAAAGATGACTGGTAAGGGGATCTTAACCCTTGGCTTGGTGTTGTCAGCACCACGCTCAGCCAGTGAGTGAACCGGCCATCCCTATATAGGACCCAAACCCATGGCCTTATTATTAGCACCGCACTCTCCCGAGTGAGCCACAGGCTGGCCCCTGAAAACATGAAATTTTAAGCAGCTTCCTTTATCTCCCTCAAAATATTTTTGGAAACACACTATCTAAACCCCTTCCGCTACACATACCCCCACTGCACATACAAAGGAAGAAGGCCCAAAGCTGTTAGCCTGAGTGGTGGGTGCTTGGATTCTACCATATCTGGCATTGCTGCTATAAGGCCAATCTACTTAAATCTGGTATACTTACAAAGATAAACCAAGTGTTCAATATACATTGGTCATGGCAACCAAGGAGAAAATATAAAAGATACAATTTTGAAATTGAAAATGGAAAGAGATACTGAGAGGCAATATTCCACACAATTTTGAAACTAAAGAGGATAGACAAATGATATAAACTGGTAGTGATTAGCACAACACAAGAACAAGGTCACAGCTACATGAATATATTCAACGGGAGCCTAAGACCAGGTTCAGGCAGCATTAAACAATATTAAAATTAACGTATAATCACTCTGCAATAAGGAATCAGTGAAGATGAAGAAAGTATATGGATTTAGTTAATCAGTCAAGAAATAGAGGGGCTGGCCAGTTAGCTCAGTTGGTTACAGCACAGTGTCAATAACAACAAGGTCAAGGGTTCAGATTCCCAGATGGTCCAGCTGCCAAAAGAGAAAGAAAAAAAAAAAGAAATTGAGTGTGATAAGAACCAGCTTAGTATTGGGGAAACCTGGGCTTACATTGACTGGCTGCATGTATTTTGACAAGTCTCTCTAGGGTTTATGTCTCTATTTGTAAAATGGAGAACACATAAGTAATATCCAATTTATTCTCAACTTCTGTACAGCTTTATAGAAGTAACTACTGAGTAACTACTGCTGCCCTGCTTCAAAACTCCCCTGCTGCTATAATTTCCCCAACAAGCAGAGCTACCAAGATTAGAAGGGTTCTGGGCTTGAGAACTCAGCAGAGGAGAGAACCAGAGTTACAGATAGCTTCATGCTACTACTTCATTGTAATTACAGCTCATTGATCTCTATGGAGTTCAAAACAAATAAATGCTTAGGAAAAAAATTTGATAAATTCATGGCTACCCATATTTAGACTTGCCAGCATCATGGAGCTGTTGAAAAGTTCTTCTACAAGCGGGGTGAGGGAAGAGAGAGAAAATCTCTCCCATCTTCCATCCAAGCCCTATTGAATCTTTTTTGGAAACTTTTCCAGAGTCTATCCATTTCTCCCTAGACCTTCTCATCTCTCATCTATGAGCATTCATTCTCTTGGCATTATTATTATTTTTAATAAAGATGACTGGTAAGGGGATCTTAACCCTTGACTTGGTGATGTCAGCACCATGTTCACCCAGTGAGCTAACCAGCCATCACTATATGGGATCTGAACCCATGGCCTTGGTGTTATCAGCACCACACTCTCCCGAGTGAGCCACCCTTGGCATTATTTATTGAGTACACGTGTGCCAGGCACTCTGCCTGCTAAGTACTGGGGATACAAAGGCAGAAACCATAAAGATGAGATTGCTCAATTCCAAAAGCTCACAGACTAACAACTAATTGGTCTCCAGACTCCCACCAGAATAACCCTTCTAAAACACTAATCTGTACAGATAAGACCTTTGAATATAAATCTTCCATGTATTCTCATATACAGAGGTAAAAATGAAAATTGGAGTGAATTTTCTGAACATCATATTCCAAACTGATCTCTTTTTTTTTAAATTTTTAAATTTTTATTTTTTTTCCTTTTTGTCTTTTTTCGTGTCCGGCAACGGATTGCAACCCTCAGTGTCGCACCCGTACCGGTGCACA